TCTTTCGTACTTTAAACGCAGAGGGAAATTTTTCTTGGGTTAGGGAAAAAAAGCTGTCTTTTCCAAATGTAATCATATTATTTTCTTCACACCAATTTGAAAGCGCCTGCAGGGCATTATTTTATCATCTTTCAATACAGTTTTTTTGCACCATGTTTTGCAGCCTGGGTCCAAATCATCAGCAAATAGTAGACAATTAATACCAGGCGTTGATTTAAGAGAAGAAACTGGATTGTTCACATGCATATTAAAGAAGATGCAGCTACTAACTGCTCCCTGAGGAAGCCCAGTTTGTAAATTTAAAGATTTGGAGAAGTTATCTCCAAACTTTATCTTCTGTGTCCTATAGCCTGAGAAATATCTAATCCAATTAAATTATTTTTATGAAATACCAATACTCAGGTGCTTCTGGTAGAGCTTTTCCCTCCAGACAGAATCATAAGCCCCCCTTAAAGTCAACACAGACAGCTGTCAAAATGTTTCCGTCAACGAAAACATCCTTAATAAACTGGCTGAATTTATCACCTGGTTTTCCTTCAGCAGCCAGCCTGCTCTACAGCTAAAATACAATATTTTTGAAGATACCAGTTCAAACACTTTACCACAAGCCTTTCCATAGTTTTTTCAAAAATACTCATAAGCAAAATGAGCCTATGGTTGTTCAGCCAGCTGGGGTCTTTACCTTTCTTTAGAACTAAAATAATAATACCTCTTCTCTACTGAGCTGGACACTGACCTGACTCCGATACTTGATTAAAAAATTCAATACTGTTTTTCTTGATCACTGACCAAATGGATAAGAAACTCTGTATGGATATAATTCACACTAAAAGATTTCTTCATTTTAAAAATCTAGGGGCAAGTTCCAGTTCTTATGCACTAAGGGAGCATCAAAGATAGTCTCCACCTTAAATTCCTCCATAGCATCCTGTGTTTTGATTAACCTTTTCCATTGAACAGTTATCTTCCATGACATTTATCTTGCATTTTTCCCCTTTTCCTGGAACTTGGAATAGGAGTGTCCAAACGAATTTGCAATGGCCTTACCTGAAGATAGTAATTTATTTCAAATGGAAATCGGATTCTTCCTACATGAGGGTTTAAAATTTTGGATGTTAGAAATAAACTTAAAAATTGTTAAGCTTGTCAGTGTTGTTGCGTTTGCTTAAAAAAAAATAAATAATAAAAAAAAAAAAAAAAAAAACACCGTCAAAATTTTGAAGATCATTGTATACACACTGATTTTGAAATCACCAAAACATTGACTAGGCGCCATATTACACCAGCATAATAAAAGAACGTATCTCAAAAACGAAAGAGCTGTTATTGACGTAATATTTCATCAATTCTTCATTTGTAGTGAAAAAAATTACTTTGAAATGTTCATGTTTCAATTTAAGCAGAGCCTCGTGCTTCTAAAATTCGAGTATCAACCATTTTTTATCAAGAAACAGGAAATATTTCAAATGTTAACTCATCAAATAGATATTTGTCAATGCATCGCCAAAAAATATTCCTCCAAAATCTAATTCACACTCAAAATGGCACTTCTAAAAAAACAGACACATGAGTAAAATTAAGGATCTTTTAGATGAAGTTAAGGAATTTTAAGGACCAAAAATCGTTTAAGAAAAACAACCTTTCAGTACTTATAAGGACTGTAAGAATTCTGGTGAAAAAAAGACTAATGACCATTTAGACTTAATGAATTAAATGCAATATGGAAACACTGAACGTGAAATACCAAATTCATCTTATAAACTGAGATGTCTTGTTTGGAATGTTACTTTCCATATCTGCAACACGAAAAGATTCAGTTCCAAAAACAAGAAAAATACTTGTACTGAATTTTTTTCCTTCAAAAGGAGAAATTAAAACTTAAAAAACTAAATTATATCTTTTAATCTGTTTCATTCAGTGCTTAATTTGCATACAAGTAATTCAAGGTTTCAATGGAAAATTTCTGATGTCTCTAAAAATATGAGTACTTTCTGATTACCTGCAGCTAGCTACTGAAAATTCACCAACCACTGGTGACTGATTTTTAGCCAAGCTAAAATGCAAAAGACAACAACCATTTCCAAAATTGGTGATGCACTAATTACTTATACAATCACTACAATTCTTAGAATACTTAGAAACAGCAAGCAAGTAACAAAATAAAAAATACTATTAAAACATCTTTTTTGCAATGTTTTCCCCATGTACACAGCAATCTGTTTTAGCTTCAAAACTAATCAGTGAGTTGCTGAAACTTGGAGTCATGCACCACCTATCAGGTATAGGTTGAATCAAGGTCGATATCAGCACATTTCTGAAGGTATGTAAAGTATTACCAGCCCTTGGCTAGCTTGCACAACTTAACAGTGTGCACACACCAACCCATATACAAAGCAACCTATTTTCATCGAAAATAAAATCGAGAACTGCACAAACTCAAAATCGGCACACAAATTTTGATTCATAAAATTCGACTGCTTATAAAGCACAACTTCATGGAATGTGAATTTTTGCTTTCTTTCACTGCTAGAGAAAAGGCCATATTTGTGAACAAATGCAACATCTTCTTTTGCATTTACCAATAAATTCTAAAAACCCAATATGATGTCTTACATGAGATTAAAAATGCTGTGTAACAAAAGGAACCACTAAAGATTGGAACTCATCTGCTCCACAGGCATGCATATCTAAGTTGCTATATAAATACATTTTGGCAACATCACAAGTTGCCTCTTCTGGTCACATATTGACTTACCTCCATGAATACTTTTCAGGGGCTTCAGATAATAAAAAAGACGTAAAATGTGAAATATACATAAGATTCATTGTTGTAGTGTATTTTCTCTTACATTTCTGCATTTACACATCATTATTACATTATTATTCATCTCAAAAACACTAACAAATTCACTGGATTCATTTTTGACATAAACACCAGGATTTATTTTATTCGACACCATTTCATTTATTGCCACTTTGGGCTTTTGTCATTCGTGGCATATTATTACTAACGTTCAAGCATAAACAACACTGAAATATCGAAATACAGTACTAACGACGAAAAATTATTGATAAATTACTAGTAGTCTGGGAAGAAACCAATAACAGCTTAGAGAATAATATAAATTCTCATCAGCAGTAACCAAAAGCAGCATTTAAAATGATAAACCTAACATTTGATGTGACTTCACATCAGCAGCTGCATCAATAATATTAAAAATACTACTTAATTAGTACATAAAGTACTTTTGCCCTCCTTTCCACATGCCTTTGTGGTATAACAGTAGCACACTCAGCGCAAATTCGAGAGGTCCAGGTTAGAGTACCGGAAAGAGCATTCCTCATTTTTCGTATCTCCTGCTTCAAAATAACCTAATGACTCTACAGTGGCACCCAAACTAAAAGGTGTGGATGATGATTCTTAACCACCAAGATTTGGTGACTAGGTCTCTTAATCCTCAGTTGTCCTTTAAAAGGGGCAGTATATAAACTAGTTTCTCCATTCTTTCCGCATGCCTTTGTGGTGCAATGCTAGCCCACTAGGCGTGCATTCAATGAGGTCCAGGTTCGAGCCCGACAAGGGCATTGGTCATTTTTCGTGTTTCCTACTTCAAAATCCTTTGACTCTACAAGTATCATAAATTAAGCCACTTAATATGTATTCGCAATAAATAATAAAAATAAATAATTTTCACACAAAGTTTTTATATTGCATTAGAAACAATATATATATATGTAATAATAAAATTCCATAGTCAAGAATACACTTAAAATTCTAACTGTATGCTCTTTTCATTTTTAATGGCGACGTTCTCTTATCTGAAAGTACGTGGAATTAAATCCACAGCCCCGTAGTGAAGTTGTTTTTTCCACCTTTTCTACACGTACAGTTTTAGAATGTTCTCGAAATATTTAAAGCGAACTGGATTGGCTGACGAGGTTGACGTCATTTCTTGGAAGCTCTGCCTTTCCAGAGGCTATAAAAAGACTCGCAAAATGAATATCGGGGCTTTTTCTTTTAATGCAACAATGCAGTAAACTTCATACAAAAAGTTATTAGTAATTCTTTTTATTTACTCCGGATATCTAATTTTGTAACTGCTATTTCTACTGAATAATAATAAATGGAACCTTTGTTTTTTAAAACTATCGTCTGATTATTTAAGCTACGACTACATCTATATTTCTTCAACGATCTATTTATTCTGGACAAAAGCTGATACATCGCATATATATATATAATGTTATATGATTTTAAATTCACTTAGTTTGAAATCAAGTTATTCTAATACTTGTGCAATAGCTGCAAAGTAAGATAATAATAATTTACTAAAGAAATATTGATTATATTATCTCCTAATATAAATTTTAGTAGAAGTATCTCAAAAGAGTGACCCATAGGTAGTAAGTTTAATTCCGAAAACTGTTTTAAAGTAACTTGAATGTATATTGTTAAAAATGTTTTATGGGGACTTGAATTAAATCATGAAAAACAAAATTTCAATTGGAAAAAGAAATTAAATTAAAAGGAAGTAATCATTGCTATTTATATATATATATAAAGCAAATAACAGTTTTTTAATTGTTTGACACACTGTCACAATATTGTACAAATATTTCATTTTTCATCACCTTTCAACAAAATGAATTGCTAATAATAGAAATGAATGGAGAAAACTAGAGAATTCTTCATAATTTGTATTTTGAGCTACACTAAAATATACTGAAAATACAAAATAGATATCTAGCAATTAACTTTCTATGTATTTTTATAGAATTTGTATTAAAAATATATTTTTTGAAGCATACAATATTTCACACTGAATTTCAGAAGGAAGAAGATAGTAATTTAGAAGACAGATTTAGACGATAGCAATATTTTTTTTAAAAGTATGCAAAATTATAAAAGAATTTCATCATAAAAGAGGATGAAAACATTATAATGACTAAGCAGAGTTTGAATAGCAAAGGTAAAAAAAGATTACGAAAAAGATTGCTACCTTAATGTCTTTATCATTTGTGAACTGGCCTAACACAGGCATAATCTTGGTAATAACAATAGCTAGCGTTTCTTGAACAGACTCTTCATCTTTACGTTGGCATATTTTTGCCAAAGCTGGTACAAGATTAACTGTGTAAGGTCTAAAAATACAAATTTTAAATTATACATTTTTTATTAAAATATACATATTTATCATCTAGAAATAAAAAAAAAATACTTTTTGATGAAATAGCATAAAACAGAGATTCTCTCACATAAAATGAATAATTTAGAACCTGAGAAACCTTATCTCTGATAATTACCAAAACATAAACCTGTAACAGAGATATAAAAATCTAAAATCTCACTCTAGGGGCTTGCTGAAATGTGTGGGGGTTGAATATCCGAGTATATATCTGAATATATGCAGTTGAGTTTACCAAGGCATACACTATATAATCTCATTACTGGTTCTATCATGTTTCTCAGTTATTACAGCAACTGAACTTGTTTATAAAATAAGTTATTGTTAAACATCTTGGGTCCTGGCATCACCACCTGGGACTGGGATCGTTATGTCATTAGTAGCAACTGAAGGGAAGAAAGTGCTCGCACCTGATTAATGCTGTACACGTTAGAAATGAGAGAGTTTTACTTCTTAAAATTCCCCCTCCCCACAATATCTACATGATTATTCTATTAATTGAACATGTTTCCTTTTATCAAATTTAAGACATTTACTTAAGTTCCCCCCCCAATGAACTGCTATAAATTCGTTCCTAAATTTTAGCTTCCTTTTAAGTAATTCACATTTTGTGCAGCAAATAAACGCAGTTTATACTGCATTTATTTAATGCAGTATAAAATTTACTAATTTGCATAAAACTTTTTACTAATTTGCATAGTTAAAATTTAAAAATTTACTAATTTGCATAGTTAAAAATTTTACTAAATTGCATAAATGCAGTTTATAAACAATTCTACAGCACAGCACACATTACAGGATTTGTAAAAACGTTTATTGAAACTTATTCATTGCTTGATACTTAGGCATTTGTTTCCATTCAAACATAATTTATTTTGAACATCACAGTTCTTCAGTATAATAAATAGTAACTAGACTTCATAAATGTAATATAATTTATGCAGTTTTGAACTTTGAGCACTTACTTCAAAATATGACATAATTAGGTCAATCAAGAATATTGCCTACACAATCACTAAAAAACGTACTGCAAAATTATTTTCAAAATTTTTAGGTGTTTCAGAACCATCCATAATCTATATTGCTTACACTGCTAACAAAATTTGTATGCATATAAATAAAATATAACTACGTGATGAATAATTAATACATTTCTTATTACAAAGAAGACATAGAAGTTATCCTTTTCTGCTTAACACTATCATCAGTACTAACAATTTTGAATACAGAAATAGTTGATTTTATAACAATGAAAAACAAATTTCTGTTTTTTGACTTACAAACATTTAATAAAAGGAACTAAAATTTCATACAATCTATTTAAATCATTTTTTACTTTAGGACAATTGCGTAGATGTTACTTTTAATTCTGAGTTGCCAATAAGAATATAACATCTTAGACTTTATGTTACAACAGAAGTTTTCGATAATCGGTGCTGAGTATCAATAATAAAAAAAGGACTTATCTTCTTTGAAAATAATTGTTCAAGTATTAGAAAGTTTATCTGGTTTTATGCACCAAAGAAATTTAAAATATGTAAATACTTTTTATCATAAATTGTTTTAAAAACTTTTTTTTCATAGAAGTTCCTTTTTTCTCATCAAAACACTCCATTACTCTCTGAATGTCTGGTTAAAGGCAATATTTTTCCCAAATTAAAAAGGAAAACAAATTCAATATTGACTACCATTATAGCTTAACAAGAAAATCTTACAAATAGATTATGTAAAATGAAAATGCAAAATTTACATTCAGGAATAAATTTACGGAAGTGAAAAATGCTATATATCTGAATTCCAGGATATATATACTTACTATTCAGATATTCTGAAAAGCTTGTGAGTATTCTGGAAAAATATGTTCCTTCTTATTAACTAAAATGTTATACTTTAATAAGACAACATATTCATTACAGGTTTAAGGCTATTAGTTTAATTAAATGCTTCTGCATTGATGAATAACCGCAGTGTTACCTGTTAGCACATAATTTTAGATTTTATTGAATTCAAAATATTATAGAAATTTAATTATATCCATCATGATATAAGGCCTAATTTTTGGATTATCAAGAAATATATACCTTTTTAAAATATGAGAATTAGAGTTTCAATTACAATTACTTTTTCAATTAAAATTTATAAAGGATAAAGACTCATATTTTACAAAAAAATCTCACATGCCTTAGAATGTTTTGAAATTCTGCCAATGAATTGGTATGCAAGCATTTCTTGTACATAAACTCTGATTTGGGATATGAAAACAAGTCCAATTTTTCAATATTTCAGTTATTATCTCTGCAAGCAAAAACCATTCTTCAGTAGATCATCAGCAATCACCACATAAAATACAAATATGCATGCACCATACACAATATGATGCTATAACAAGCACACTGTAGGTAGGTTATGCTACTAGTTCCCTTGGTAGTGATGTCAATCGCAGCAGAACGAAGACCTTGTTCTTGCAGTCGTAACAGTACTGAGAAGTTACTGTTCTTTCCCCCATTTAAGGTAAAACTCAATTCATAACTTTTTTTTTTTTTAATTTACCTTAATAATGTGTTTATTTTTCATTGCACAATAACTATTGATAAAACACAATCAAGCCTAACAAATCAACTAATTCAGAAATCACAGTTAATGGCAGAGAATAAAAATGATGTTTAAATTCCAGACTATAAGTCAAGGGAAAAAAAAGGTCATATCACAGAAAAAAACAACTTGACTTCACCTGGTATTACCACCTCACAAAAACTTAAAAAATCAGCACCTGCATTCATGTTTCAGATCCATATAATAAAACAGGAGGTGAAAATAATCAGACTTTTTGAGTCTTCTAAAGCTGCATGAATGTGAATGCTATGGTCAAACAGTATTTCATTTAGTTTTCTTTGTTTCTGTATCCATATTTTTTGTAAAAAGAATGATTTTGAAACAGTACATTATACTGCACATCCCTTGACATAGTATACAATATTTCATTTTTTCACCACTTTGTCATATTTTAAAGCTACTGTTAAAATGGCAAAATCCCTTACTTTGATATATACCAAAAGAGAGAAAGAGTGCAATGCTATGTGTATTATACTTTGTAATATGATGTTTTGTAGTACAGTCTGTAAAACAGTTTACTGTAGAACTAGTTTAATGTTGGCAAAGCCTTACTGTACATACCCTGCCCTCCAAATGTTAAGGAACAGCATGTTTCCTGTGTCTAATTTGAGAACGAAGCAACAAAGAACCAGAAATTTAGAGAACATGTTTACTAAACAGTTCTTTAATGAATGTGACACAGAATGTTTCTAAAGTTCAACACAAACATGAATTACAACAAAAAACTGCACTCTTGGCAGAGAAATCCAGTCTTGGATAAACAGGATATCGCAGTTTTTTGAGGAAAAATGAGGTGGTAACATTAAAAAAAATGTGTTCTAATAAGGAATGTGCCCACCCCTAGCTGCAATACATTGGTGGCAGCAATGTTCCATGCTGTCTATTAAGTTGTCAGTCAGTGAAATGGGAAGCAACGACCAGACATGGAGTAATTCTTGTTCAAGCTCATCTAACGACCTTCGAGGAGGACTTAAAGAAGCAAGTCTCCCAAGGTAGTCCCAAAGATGCTCTATCAGATTCAGGTTTGGGGATTAAACTGGCCATCGTGACCCTAAAGCTATTCTTCAGAGTGGTCACTCTTTGTCGTCCATCAAAAGAGAAATCCAGGAGCAATAGCAGCGGCATATGAGTGGACATATTGACTAAGGATCTCATCTTGATATCTCACACTGGTCAAAGCTCCTCCATGGAACACATGCAGGTCAGTGTGACCATGGAGAGCGATTCCAGTCCAAACCATTATTCAACTACCAATGCAACTGTGTCTTTCCAGAATGTTGAATTGGTTGTATCTGATGCATTGTTCCCTCCAGATCAGCTGACGAACTGAATCACTCTCCTATGTGAACCTTGACTCATCTGTGAAAAGAACTAACACGCTTTATTGACTGGTCCAAAAGACATGTTCTCTTGCCAAACGTAAACAGGCACCTTTGTGTCCTCAGGTCAAGGGAACACAAACAACTGGGCGTCTGGCATACAGACCTGGCATACAGGTGTCTGTGCACTGTAGTAACTGATATTCTTGTTCCTGTTGCCCCTAAATGATCTGCCATGAGCTGAAACACAGTAATGTCACTCTTTCTTCCGGCCAAAAGAGCTAAATAACAGTCTCCCGCAGGTGTTCTAACTCTAGGTCTGCCTGGAACATGTCTTCTAGACACAGAATCCTCAGATTCAAACTGATTCCATAGTCAGTGGACCACTCTACAAGAGACATATATATATCTAGCAGTATAAGCTTGTGACATCCCCATTTCCATCCATTCAATAACCTACCACGAATCGAGTAAACGACTTCTGGATATTGTCAACGAAATTGCTAATAACAATTGAAGATCAACACTCGTGAACAAAACCTACAATTTTTGCACTTTTTTCTCCTAATAACAATTGAAAATAAACACTCATGAACAAAACTTAAAATTTTTGTATCTTTTTCTCCAACTCCTATATAAAATAAAGGTGGCAGCTATTGTTTTTGCATATATTTTCTTAAACTTTGTTACTATCATACAACTGTGAATTTAAATGTGATGGGCATTTTTGTAATGGTGAGCTTTGAAAAACATGCAGTTCCTTAATTTTTGGAGGAAAGTGTAGTTTATCATTCAGTCACAGGAAAATCATGATTAGCATTAACATTTACTACAACTTGTGGTACACCTTGGAATGCATTACCTATGAAAAGAACAGAACTACCATATACCATTTTTAACAATGAATGGCAAATGATAATGAAGGCGAAATTTCAGATTTAAATACACAGACATTATCAAAATACAGAGTTGACACCGATATTTTAACTGTGAAGTTTCTATGTATTATATATACAGTAGGTGT